AAGAGCATCTTGGACCACCGTCACGTCCTAAAACATTAAAATAAGCACAATAAGACTCGATTACCGGTCATAAACCAAGTCCAAATACCACCAAAATAGGGCTCCATAAGAATACATAAGCACTAGAGTAAACCAGGAAAATCCGGAAATGGAATTAAGCTCTACCCCAAAAAAATAGTTTTTGACATCATTTTGCGGTTTTGGGACCATTGGCACTACGATTATCGGATTGAGGTACAAGATACTCCATTTCGAAGCTAAGAGATAGGGCTACAATGTTGAAGAAGGCTACTCTACCCAGTTTTGAGTGTAACTAGGTCAAAAATGCAAGATACTAAACCAGAACCGCAAAAACAGGTTCACAAACTGCATTCTGGTTCAAACATCATAAGTCAGGCTACCTAAGTCCAAATCAAGTGATTCCAAAGCCATACGAAAGCTAAGATACAAGGATACAATTCATCAGAAGGCACCAACAACCAAATAAGAAGCATTCCCAACCAAATTAACCAATTACAGACGCAATTATCAAATTCGGGTAGAACCAGGGTTACACTCACCAAGCAGGGTTATTTCAGTCTTTTCTCAAGCTACGTTGCTCCGATTGACCTGAAAGTTTGTAGGCATATCTAAAATATCATTCCCTACAACTCTCATGTTTTAACCCAAGGCCAATTCGACCCTTAACTATGAGATACAATGCCGGGCAGAATGTAAGAACATGCAACCCTAACGTTCCAAATTTCTTTCCAAAGCAGAAATTTCTTGCAATTAACCACCACATACACCTTCTAGCTGCATTCTAGATCATTTCCAATCATCATACATAGCCACACCATAAAAATCATATTAAAACAGAAAAATCATCAATAATTATAAAACTTCACCAAATTCAACCAAAATCAATATATAATCCACAAAATTCCCTCTTAGACTACCACAAATCATGAATTAAACATCATTAGATGGAGGAGAGGGGTCCTTCACTACTCACCTTAGTAATACAAGAGAGAGAGCAACTAATCACCTTAGCCTTCCAAACAACTCCACTAAACACCTCCCAATCACTAAGTGAAGGGGTTTTATGGAACAAATGCAAGATCAAATGGTTGATTTGTTGAATTTGAGCAAGATGGAAGCAAGTATTTGAAGAGCTTTTCCCTTTCTTTTTGCTTGAAGTGGCCGGCCAAGAAGAAGAAGAAAATGGTAAATTTTTGGTAATTTTTTTGATTTATTTGGTCAAATGGTAAAAGGTGAATAGTAGTCATAAAGTACAACCAATCTCTAAGTGACACTTGTCACTTCATTAAATGCATAACTATCACTTTGTTTCCTCTCACACCAATCCACTTGGGTAACCTCTAATTATCTCTTAGCACCCGATAAGTTAAACCCAGTATCCAAAACTTAACCTAGTTGGCCGAATTTTTCCGAACTTTTCGCCTTAGTGGGTCCCACGTCCGGTATACGCTATTAATTTCTCAAAATCTACCAATACTGAAAAAAATCATCTAAAAACTATATTTACCCATAAAAATTATCTAGAAACTTTCCTAATAAAGAAAATGCAGAAAAACATGCCATTGAATATAATAAAACCTAGAAAAGGGAAAAAAATTACGGGTTCTCACAACTAAAACTCAAAATTGACCAAAATTTCTTCATTTTATTGCTTGCTTTGGCCGAACCTCTTGCTCAAGAAAAGAAAAAAATCCTCCAACTTCCTACTTCATAATCTTGCTCCAATCTTCAAATCAAACCGATAAAAACTACAAATCACTCCATAAAAACCCTTAGCTAGGTGGTAGTGAAGGAATAGGTGAAGTGGTTTGAAAGATAGTGGTGTAAAGTTGCTTCCTTTCTTGAGATTTCAAGGTGAGTAGTCAAGAAATTTCATCTTTGGCTTTGATAATGATGAATTCATGACTTGTGAAGGTTAGTTAGGTGATTTTGTGGAGGTTTTCATGACTTTTGGTGGTGTTTGATGAATTTTTTATTTTATGCATAATTTTTTCTGTTTTATCTGTTCAATGTTGATTGGCCATGTATGATGGTCTAGTATGGGTTAGAATGAAGCTTTGGTATGATAATTGTAATGATTAGTGGAAAATTTCTGGTTTGAAGCAAAAATTTCCAGATTAGGGTTTCCATTTTTTCCCCCTTCTGTCCGGTACTGTTTACCCTAGTTAGAGGCCGAATTAGTCTTAGGTTAAAACATGAAAGTTGTATAGAATGATGTTTTATAGTATCCTACAAAATTTCAGCTCAATCGGAGCAATGTAACATGTGAAATGACCGAAATACCCCTTCTGCCCTGTTTCTATCCGAACATGCTAATCAGCTTCTGTAATTGGTTGTTTTGACCAGGAATACTACTGATTTGGTTGTTGATGTCTTCTTAAGACTTATAGCCTTGTATCTTAGCTTTCAAATGGCTTTGGAATCACTTCCATTGGAGTTTATATGCTGAGATATGACTGAATGAATCAGGACGGCCACAGTAAACTTCGAATTGGGAAATCTGGGGTTGTTTTGATACATTTGACCTAGATACATTGCAAACTGGACTGAGTGGCCTTCTTGAACATTGTAACCCTTTCTCTTAGCTTCGAAATGGTGTAAATTACACCTCAATCCGACAAGGATAGCTTCAGTTGTGGTAATTCCGCTAAGTAACAGCAAATCTGCCTTTTGTTTTCCAACCCAAACTTCGTTTTCGCATATGTCCTAGTTTGATTTTGCACTTATACGTTCCATATGATTTTACTCTCGTGATATGTGGATTTGGTTTATGACTCATATTCGAGCCTTATGGTGGCTCTAATTAAAGGTGTTTGATAGCTTGTGATTTGTGGGTGTTGAGGTTTGGTTGGAAAGTAAAGAAAGACAAGGGAAATGCTGTCAAAATTTTCGCGGAGCTTCTGCACAGTTTCGGGAAATTTGCTATATCTTGATGTAGGAATGTCAGAATTGAGTTCCATTTGTTTTGTTTTAAACTAGATTCATAGGGATATAAACCGTGTAAATTTCAAACCCTGTTTATGTCTGTACCATTTATGGTGATTTTTCAAATTTGACTGAAATATTGTACCTATTCTGTCTTTCACTGGATAAAGCAGCAACTTGAGGCTTGATTTTGACTGACTTGCGTTCTGAATCTTATGAGGGTATTTTCTGGAAAGTTATAGCCCTTTGAATGTATTTTCCAACGGTATAACTTTTACTAATTTTGGACTTACAAAACTTGAGTTATGATTTTTCATATAGGGTTGTGCGAAACTGGAAAATCCTGTTTTCCTAGTATCGATCTTACTTTCATTTTCTACTTCAAATTTGAAGTTGGTCAGTCATTGTAGGTAGGGTTTTGAGGTTGTTCATGCCTTTAATCGTTATCTTTTCACTCCAAAGTCACCTCTTCGCTTTACAGTAATGGTTCATTTAGATAGGCACCTGACTTGTAATCGAGTTTTACTTGCGAATTCCACTTATTAGGTTTTGGAGTCCAGTCTTAAGTGTTTGCCTTGATTGTTCTAGGAGGTGCCGGCGAGTAAAGCCACACTTGGGAAGGAAACTTTTGAAATTATCCTTGTTTGATCAGGTGAGTGTACCACTCCCCTGAATTATTGCTAAACTGGTTTCCTGTACTTGCAAATTGCTAGTTGAATGTCTTTCCTGACTGTTTATCTTGTATGAGACGAGGGTGTACTTTATCACACTTGTTCTCTTGCCTATACTGAACAAACTGGAATCTATTACTTGTACTTGTTATGTACTTGAACTTGTTACTTGCACTTGTTATGATGTCGTTTGGAAGAGTATCCAACGACCTTCCTGTTAAACCTGAGCTCAACCTCATGGGGAGTTAATTAAATAGAGCCAGCGAGGGTTTGGTCGAGATAATTGACAATCCATGGGTGCCTGTTCTTGGGGGAATCTTTGGGTATTGAGACTCTTGATTCCGGTATACTCGAATATTACCATTCCTGTTCCTGTTTGGCGTTCGGGCCCGGTAAGGGGGTATGTTTGGTGAACAGGATTTTGACATTAAAGTGGTGATCTACTGGACTAGTTCCTTTATTTGAACGTTGACAGAGGGTCAACAAGGCTGGATCAAGTATTGCAACGGGGATTTGGCTCCTGAGAGCCACCTGTATCCTTGAAATTGTGATGTTCTATCATTGAATTAATCTTTCCCACTTGCGCTTATACATTTCACCCGACAACTTTGAGTGAGGATCCGAGTTTTGCTCGAGCTGTACCATTCCTGATTTGTCTTGCCTTTAGATCCACCTTCATCCTTCGATAAGAAGCAAAATACGAAGAAATCGTTCCGACGGAGCTAAATTGCTATGGGATAAAGAACGAAAAGGAAAATTGGGTTTCTGAACAAAAGGGAAGGGGTGCAACACAAGAACTTCCCAGGGTATCACCCATCCTAGTACTACTCTCATCCAAGCACGCTTAACTTTCGAGTTCTTATAGGATCCGGTGCATCAGTATTGGTATGATCGCACCCGCCATGTTACATTCGCTTTATTCTTTTAAACTACACCGTCGTGTAAAGCAATGTGGCTTTTCTAGACCGAAATTGATTTTAAGCATCAATTCAAGCTTTTTCTTACTACCCTTTTCTTTATTTACTTTTATATATTTATTCGTTACAGATTTATACCCCTTTTTTTTCCTCATTGCGCAACTCTCAATTATCATGAAATTAAAGCTCCACGCTTGCACTGACTTGCATCTTGTTTTTTCCCTCATCACACAACTCCCAATTATCATGAAATTAATTCTGCACGCTTCCGGTTATACATTTGCACCGACAATTTTGAGCGATGACTTGTGCTTTGATCGAGTTGTGCCATTCCTGCTTTGTCTCACCTTTAGATCCGCCTTCATGCTTCAATAATAGGCAAAAAATGAAGTAAACGTTCCGACAAAACTAAATTACTATGGGATATAGAATGAAGAGAAAAATTAGGTTTCGAAACAAAAAAGGAGGGGTGCAATACGAGGACTTCCTAGCGGGTCACCCATCCTAGTGCTACTCTAGCCCAAGAACGCTTAACTTCTGAGTTCTGATGGGATCCGGTGTATTATTGCCGGTATGATCGCACCCGCCATGTTCCATTCGCGTTATTCTGCTAAGTAACCCCGTTTTGTGAAACAATGTGGCTTATCTAGACCGAATTTCATTTTATGCGTCAATTCAAGTATTTTCTACTTATCCTTTTATCTATTTACTTTTATATTTTTTTCTTTAAGATTTGCACGTTGTTTTGTTTCCCTCGTCGCGCAACTCTCAATAATCTTGAAATTAATGCTTGACGCTTGTGCTTACACATTTACGCCGACAACTTTGAGCGACGACCCGGGTTTTGATCGAGCCATACCGTTCCTGATTTGTCTCGCGTTTAGATCTACTTTCATGCATCGTTAAGAAGCAAAATATGAAGCAATCGTTCCGACAGAGCTAAATTACTGTGGGATAAAGAATGAAGTGGAAAATTGGGTTTTGAAACAAAAAGGGAGGGGTGCAACACGAGGACTTCCCGGGGGGCTCGCTCATCCTAGTGTTACTCTCGCCCAATAACGCTTAATTTCAGAGTTCTGATGGGATCCGGTGCATTAGTGCCGGTATGATCGCACCCGCCGTGTTCCTTTTGCTATATTCTTCTAATTAACCTGGTCCAGAGAATCAATGTGTCTTATCCAGACCGGACTTCATTTTATGCGTCAATTCAAGCATTTTCTTATTATCCTTTTATCTATTTACTTTTATATTTTTTTTAATGATTTGCATCTTTTTTTTTACCTCATTGCGTAACTCTCGATTATCTTGAATTAATCTTTCAAACTTGCGCTTATACATTTGCGCAACACAAGGGAAGGGTGCAACACGAGAACTTCCCTGGGGGTTATGTGACAGCCCCACTTTCCCCTAAGGCAAACCAAAGGGGTTAGCGGACTGCCTGCCCAGCTCTCGCCAGGACTAACGGTGCAGTTTAGAGCGATCTATTGCGTTTTGGAACTTATAACGCGTGCAAACAAGTCAAACTGGCAAAATAACCCAAAATAAAAAAAAATGAAATCCGGGGTCGGCATGAATAGTAACCGACCCGTCAGGACCCAACCATATACCAAGCAAACGTTCACATCTTGAACTTTAGTATTTACAATCCAAAGTTGCATACAAAAGTATTCAAAAGTGGATGCATGTATGGTTTGCCAAATCAAAAGAGAAACAGACCCAAAAGTACATTTAGGGTTTCAAGAAATGAGCTATACAAAAGATATGTCCAACTAGCTCATTTCGGCAACCAATTATCAATTGCAGTCCAAAAGTAGTTATTTTCCTGTAAGGAAAACAAAAGGAACGGGGTGAGCTAGTTGCCCAGTGAGATAATACTACTCAAGCAACCAAGTTCATATAGGCATCAAGCTTTTCATTCCAAGTCATCAAAGGTAAATAAAACACACATCAATAATGATGATAAAAGGATACGGACGGCTCTCAAGAGCCCTTTTCCTCGTTTGCATTCTTGATCAGATCATCTTCTCATTGACTCTCCGTCAATGTTTAAAAGTAACCAACCGTATACTTCACTTCACTCCCACTCCTTCCACCTAACATCCCCCTACCGTGCCCGAACTCCAAACACTTGCACTGTGGTATTACTCGAGTAAACCGGAATCGAGAGTCTCTCATACTACAAGATTCCATATAACATTTCCCCAAGGCACATCAATTGGCACGACCAAGCCCTCGCCGGCTCGATTCAATCAACTACCAATGGGGTTGAGCTCAAAGATAACAATTGTAGTCGTTGGATACTCGTCCAAACGACACCAAGCCATGTACTTTCATTTCGTGTAACATGTCGTATAACATTCCAATAACATGGTAAACAATAAGTGAGAGTGATAAAGTACGCTCTCACTTCAATCAATTCACATTCAATTCACTTCAAGCAATTCACATTCAAAGCCATATAGGAACACACAAGTGAGTAGTACACTCACCAAGCTTGCAAATGGTGTTTCATGCACTTCCGTCAAAAGAACGTCGTGAACCACCGTCACGCCCTAAAACATGCAAACAAGTACAATGAGACTCGATAACGAGTCATAAACCAATGCCAAACACGATCCCAATAGGGTTCCATAAGCATATACAAGCATTAGGGGAAACCAGAAAATCCGGAAATGAAACTAGCTTTAACCCTGAAAAAAAATAGTTTTTCACCTCATTTTGCGGTAATGGCACCAAAGGCACTACGATTATCGGATGAAGGTCCAAGACCCTCCGTTTCGAAACTAAGAGATAGGGATACAATATTCCAGAAGATCACTCAACCCAGTTTCGAGTGTAACCAGGTCAAAAATGCAAGATACTACACCAGAATCCCAAAAATAGATTCACAGAACGCATTCTAGCGGAAACATCATAAATCAGGCTATCCAAATCCAAATCCAGAAATTCCAAAACCAGTGGAAAGCTAAGAAACAGGGATACATTTCATCAGAAGACCTCAACAACCAATTCGGAAGCATTCCTAGCCAAAATAATCAATTACAGAAGCAATTCTCCAATTCGGGTAAAACCAGAACAGCAAGGGTAAGTTTGACTTTTATCAAGCTACGCTACTCCAATTGACCTGAAATTTTGTAAGCACCTATAAAATGTCATTCCCTACAACTTTCATGTTTTAATACAAGGCCAATTCGGCCTATAACTAGGAGCTACAAAACCGGGCAGAATGTTCCCAATAAAACCCTAACTTTCTACAATTTCTTCCAAACCAGAAATTGGTTGCAATTATCCACTTTTTCCACCTTCTAGAGTCATTATATACCATTTCCAATCATCATATATAGCCACACAATCATGTTCATATTAAAATAGAAAAATCCCCAAAAATAATAAAACTTCATCACTTCAATCACAAATCAAGAAATAATCCATAAACTTGCATCTCATACTACCACTAATCATGATTTAAGCATCAATAAAGGGAGGAGGGTGGTTCTTCACAACTCACCTTAGAAACAAGAGAGAGAGAGAGCAAGTAGTCCTCTTAGCTTGCCAAATAACTCCACACAACACCTCACTATCACTTCCTTAAGTGTTTCTATGGAGCAAAAACAAAATCTAATGGTTGATTTAGAAGATTGGAGCAAAGATTGAAGCAACTTGGAGAGTTTTCTTTCTTTCTTTCTTTCTTTCTTTCTTGAGAGTAAGAGCTGGCCACAAGAGAAGAGAAAATGGTGAAATTTTGGTTAATTTTGTGATTTATTTGGTCAAATAGAAAAAGGTGAATAGTGGTCTTATGTAAGAACCAATCCTATGGTGACACTTGTCACCTCATTTAATGCTTGCCTAACTTTTGTCTCCCTCATACCAATCCACTTAGCATCCTCTACTTATCTCTTAACACCCGGTAAATTAATTACAGTATCCAAAACTTAACCTAGTTGGCCGAATTTTTCCGAACTTTTCGCACTAGTGGGTCCCACATCCGGTATACGCTCTTAATTTCTCAAACCCTATTCGATACTAGAAAAAATCATCTAAAACTATATCTGCTCCTAAAAAATATATCTAGAAATTTTCCTACTCCCGAAAATGCAGAAAACAAGCCATGAAAGATAATAAAACCTAGAAAATGGAAGAATTACGGGTTCTCACACTCTCTCCCCCTTAAAAGAATTTCGTCCTCGAAATTTCTCACCTTGGTTCACAAACAGTTCAGGGTATTCCTTTTTCACCTCCCAGGTAGCCTCTTCTATCCAATGATTTCTCCACTTCTTCTTCACTTTTTTTTTTTTCATGTGCACCCTATTCTCTCTTCTACCCAAAGGCTACGATCCTTACAAACCATATCAATGCTCAAACGAATACTACTTTCAGGTCGTAGGGTAGACAAGCAGGCGTGGTATCTATTTCGTCCATCAAAATTGGGGTTGACAAATGAATGAATAACACCGGAATCTACTCAGATTTCCGCAAATCGGTGGAAAACCAAAATCATACCTTCCTCAATTTCAGGAGAATCGGGGACCTGTTGTGGTTCCAATGAATACACTCGAGCCGCTACCTTAGATTTGGTCCCTTCCACCTTGGCCGGTTCGGAATTAGTCTTTGTCGCTTGCTGATTCCCCTTTCCATCTCGTGATAGGACTGGACAAGTAGCGAGCTGATGGTTTGCACTTTCACAGTGCAAACATTTTCCTTCCTTCTTCCAGCAATTGTCCTCCGAGTGGTTTGGCTTTCCGCAATACCCGCAAGGTCCGCGTACTGCAGAAGCCGAGCCTCCTTTCTGGCCTCTCCCCACTTGGCCGCCTCGTGACGGGCTCTCTCGTGACACTCCCGGCATCCTTTCTTCTCCAGTTCCTCCCCCAAACTTGGAAGGGGTACTCTCATCCCCCTGTCCAGAGCTGCTTCCAGGAAAACCCCGTTTCTTCGCCTGGAAGTTCCGTACTTGCACCCTGGCCCTCTCTACCCGTTGGGCCTTCTCAACGGCCTCGCTAAAAGCGTTAATCTGGGCCACCGCGAGGTCCTTCTGAATTTCTACGTTCAGGCCCTAGACAAATCGCCGTATTTTTCGTTGCTCGGTCATGATGAGTTCGGGCGCAAATTTGGATAGGCGGGTGAATTGGCTCTCGTACTCCACTACAGATTGAGCCCCTTGGAGGAGTCGGATAAACTCATCTTCCTTCTGCTCCTGGACTAGCGGAGGGAAAAATTTCGCGTTGAATTCTCTCATAAAATTCACCCAAGTCCTGGGCGTTTGTTCCCGTTCCCATTTTTGTCGAATGACGTTCCACCAGGAACGGGCCGCCCTTTCCAGCTGGAAAACGGCGAAAGTCACTTGCCGTTCCTCGGTGTAGTGCAAGGCAGCGAAAATGTCTACCATTTTCTCGAGCCACCTTTCGGCGACATCCGGATCGGGCCCCCCGATGAACTTCGGCGGGGTAAACTTTTGGAATCTTTCAAGTGCCCTGTCGTCACTTTCGACATGGTTGCCCGGGTTTCCAGGATTAGGGTTTGGGTTTTGGCCTTGTTGCTGCACTACTTGTGCCAGCAGGTTGGTCATTTGCTGCATAGCGGCAGCTATC